GGAGGGCTGTCGCGGCGCGGAGAAGCGCTCCTGCCCTTTGCTGCCTCCCAGCTGGGATCGCGGCTCCCACTGTTTGTGCCCAAGCATTTAAAATCTCTCATATAAGTGTATACACGTATGACACACGCATATGTACAATACATGTATGTGTATGTAAATCTTTCATAGGTAGGACGATGTGTAATTGCTAAATGATGAAGACCACTTAAAATCAATGTTAGAATTAAAAACGAAACCGTCTCAGAATACGTTTCTTAAGTTTTATCTCTGTCTAGATTGGCTTTAAGTAATCTTTTTAAAAAATTGCTTTCTCTTTTCTTTTTTTTAAAATATATTTTATTGACTTTTTTTTTTACAGAGAGGAAGGGAGAAGGATAGAGAGTTAAAGATCGATCAGCTGCCTCCTGCACAGTCCCTACTGGGGATGTGCCCGCAACCCAGGTACATGCCCTTGACCGGAATCGAACCTGGGACCCTTCAGTCCACAGGCCGAGGCTCTATGCACTGAGCCAAACCGGTGAGGACATAATCTTTTTCTTAATCAAAGTAAAACTGTGGCACAGCTATAGAATGTACCAAATTCCAGATGCCTCAATGCTCTCCGCCCCTTCTCCCAGCACCCTGCGGCCAACTAGTATGTTTTCTGCAGGAAACTCTCTTCTGAGTAGTTTGGGGCGGGGATATTTTACAGCGTCCATACCCACAGTAGGACTCCTTACTAAATGGCTGCCAGGGCAGTGTCCCCAAAGGAGAATGAAAGGCACCTGCGTTCCCGGCCATTCGGAACACTTTCAAGGTACAGAGTCCGCAGTTACCTACCCCTCTGCTTCAGGAGCCCCAGGTGGAATACGGCGCGTGGCTTCTCTGGCAACACCCAGAAACCACAGCCTCCCTCTCCCCATCCCCCTACTTTTCCAGGGGATGTACCCTCCCCCAGGACTCCCCTTCTTTTCCCCTACCCCCGCCGCAGCGGGCCGGAGCGCTGCCGAAGCCCGGGAGGTCCTGCGCCAACCTGGGACCTTTCTCCCACGTCGGCCCCAGCAGCCTGGTCTTCCGTATTCGCAGCAAAAAGCCAATCAGAAACACCCCAGCCCTGGGCACGCCCCGGCTTGCGCCCCACACCGCCCCACCTTGGGGCGCACGCGGCAGCGACCTTAGGGCCCGGGAGTGGGACCCAACCGGCTGCTACTGGTTCAGCTCTCCAGCGGTGGCTGTGGTCCAGATAGGAGTCTCTTCCGCCAGGGAAGATGATGAAGAGAAAAGCCAGCAGAAACAGAAGAGCTCTCTGGAACAAGACACCACCGTGCCCGGAATCCACTGAAAGCTGTTCTCGCCAGTATTCGCAGGGACTTGATCCAACCTGCCATTTAGAACTCCTTGGACAGAAAAACCTCTGGGACTGGATTGGAGATTATATATATATTCTATACCAGTGATTTTCAAACAGTGTACCACATAATTTTTAAAACATGCAATACCTGCCCTAACCAGTTTGGCTCAGTAGGTAGAGAGCATCGGCCTGCAGACTGAATGGTCCCAGGTTCGATTCCCGTCAAGGGCATGTACCTTGGTTGCGGGCACATCCCCAGTAGGGGGTGTGCAGGAGGCAGCTGATCGATGTTTCACTCATATAGATGTTTCTAACTCTATCCCTCTCCCTTCCTCTCTGTAAAAAATCAATAAAATATATTTAAAAAGAAAAAAAAACACAAAACAAAACATGCAATACCTGACTATTTAGTCAGGGGCACTAACCTTTTTCCCCCTTAGATTGTCAAATACATAAATGGTAACAGTCAACACAACAATAGCTGTCTGGTGTGAATAAATCAAAATTATTCTTATTTTTTGTCAGCTTGGCAAAAAAAATATTTTTTTGGTGGGCCGCAGAATTTCAGTAATTAGTTTATGTGTGCCATAAAATGAAAAAGGTTGAAAATTGCTGTTCTACACTATATACTATTTTCTACCCTTCTACACCTTTATGAAGAGAGAGATACAGTCTCTATAAAGGCATAAAGCCATAATAGAATTGAGTGCTAAAATGGTATTCAATACGTCATTCGTTACCAGTTTTTCCTTCAACCTTGTCTGTTTGTTGCTGTGTAGAATAGAGACAGTCCTGGACCTGCCTTAAGAGGCAGAAAGCCCAGAGCTGGATTCTTATGTGAATATTTACTAATAGGTTCTGCTTTAAATCAATACGTTAAATAAGAACAGAAACAAAAGCAAAACCAAAAAAAAAACCAGACCTAATCTGAAAACCATTGATGAGAATAAAGAAAAGGTGAATAGGAAAAGTCACTAGTTCTTTTTTGGGGGGAGAAAATTCTCCAATTTTATGTGATTGGAATGAGTACTATTAGAATCAATGCATGAAGCTACTTCTTTAAATAGCGCTTCTATGTAAAATGTGCTACTTCAAAAAATAATTGCTAATATTTGTGACTTTCAGAAAAATGATTAATCATCTTCTACATATGCATGGCAGTTTAGACAGCAAGAGCCTGGAAGTATCAGCGGTTTATATTATATTTATTCCTCATACATTGACTTTTCCCAACTGTATCAGCTGAAAGTTACTCCTGGAATTCTTCCACATAATGTCACTATCAAATAAATATGACCAAGTTTTCCTCAGCTTGCATCATCTAGACTTTTGTGTATATTTTAAATTTGACTGCCCAATATTCATTTCCCTCTGAGCTTAAACCAGGGGTGGGCAAACTTTTTGACTTGAGGGCCACAACGGGTTCTTAAACTGGACTGGAGGGCCGGAACAAAAGCATGGATGAACTAATATAAATTCAAAGTAAACATCATTACGTATAAGAGTACGGTCTTTTTTTCAATAGTTTTATTCATTTCAAATGGGCTGGATCCAGCCCGCGGGCCGTAGTTTGCCCATGGCTGGCTTAAACAGTTGTATAGGCTGTAGCTAAATATTTGCTGAATACATGGAATATTGATCCCAATTTTCCAGCTTTATAGATAATCACTAGTATTATTACTTTTTAAAAACAAGTCTTAATTTTTAGGTGAGTAATTTAGAGTATCCCAAAAATATGAGGGACAGTTAAGATTGTTTTGTAGTTTGTGGTGAACTGCATTTCTTTTGCCCTTAGAATAAACAGGAAGCTATTTTTCTTCGCCCTCCCCTCCCTTTCCTTCTCTTCCATTAGGGTGGGTTGAGGAAGCCAGGTATTGGAATGTGGGAGGGGACAAGGGCCCAGTGCACGGGGTTGGAGCCTCAGTCCTGTGAGTAGCTTGTCCCAGAATAGGCTTTGTGGCATGGGATGTCAAATATCAAGTGAAATGAGTGTGTGTAGGGGCTGGGTGGTGGCAGCAATGGCAGAGAGTAGGATATAGCAGTTTAAGCAGAGAGAGGAGGGCCTCTGTGTGTGTGGACAGCTGGATTAGTTACCTATGGGAGGGTTAATGAACAAAGAAAATATTTGAAGTTCATTGTCAGGAAAGGGAGTTACAAACATGGGAATGGAGAAAGCTGTAGAGTTCGATTTCAATTGGTGACTTTTATATGAATTTATGATTTTCAATATGTATAAACTAGAGGCCCAGTGCACAAAATTCGTGAACAGGTAGGTCCCTAGTGGCTGCTGGCTGCCGGCCATGGCCTGCCTTTATTCTGCGCTGCCCCCTGGTGGTCAGCACATGTCATAGTGAGCAATCGAACTCCAGGTCAGTTGAACTCCCAAGGGGACACTTTGCATATTAGGCTTTTATATATATAGATAGATGATAGAGAAATAAACAGATATAAATGTTGTGTGTGTGTGTGTGTATCTGTGGTATAGTTATATATATTTATACCTATATATATACTCTAGTTCTTTTCATTCTCAGGGTCTGGGATCAGCAACGAGTATATCTGGTTCCCAGAGTTTAGTTTCTAAATAAAATTGTCCACTAATAAGAACAAGGATTCTTAGGAAAATGGGTTGATTCCAGGGATGGTGTAGAAAACACACACACACAGAACATGAACATAAAACACATGAACATAAAACACATGAACATAAAACACATGAACATATTGTGTCAGAAATAAGGAAGTTCTCAATGTTAGAGACATGTCAAAAGAGCATAGGAGCCTGTTTGAAGCAGCTTCCACCAACAAAATATAGGACAAGTTCTTTAGCATCAAAACATGTAATGATAGCAACAAATTACCTACCGTAGAGAAATGAAGGAATCTGTGACTCCTTACTAATATAACAGAATAAATAATACATTGATGGTTTGCTAAATACTTTGTTACAAAATGTGTATTGGTTACAAATGAAAGAAGATGAACTCTACCACTATGGTGAAATATGGCAGGTACCAATGTAAGTGGTCAAAGATCAGTGATGACACTTTGGTTCTCCTGATACAGTGACAGCACATCTTTTTT